ACTCTTGTCCGAAGGCTAAGAATGGAAATAGCACTTCTTACTTCCAGGTAAATTGAAAATGGCATATTTTACTTACAGTGACTTGGGTAAAGAGTCTACATCTCAAAGAATGTTACCTAGGAGCAAGTGAGTGATGTTATCTTATCAGTCGTAATTTCTAAACTGCAATATCGTGTGATTAAGTTTTGGTGCTGTTAATTTGTATAGTACAAATAAGCTAACATGTACCTGTAACCGAGGTGGTATTCAGGTTCTTTTGGATGCTGCAAGGGAGACTAACTACAGGACTAGCAAGAACACAATTCAAAGTTAACGGCCAAGAACGCATATAATGTGCCTGCAGACGATACACAGACAAGATAAGCCAACCTGTGACCACCAGCCACATAAATCGTCATTGCGCTGTCGCTGGTACATGATAACGCCGTCTCCTTGTCACAGCAATAACAAGATTCTGCCAATCGACATGTCACTAGTGTCGCACTGGTTCGCCGTTTTGTGATGCACACGACAGGAATTGCCTAACATAAGCTTGATTTAAAGTATAGAGTCAGGACACAGGGGAAATTTGAACGTAAATCTATTTTGGGCCAACTATCAGTAGGAAAGACTGTCTTTGATAATCTCTTTGATAATAACTTTAAGAGAGGCAAATCTTCATCGTCATGTCAACTGCCACCCCACCCCCACCCCCTTTAACGACGGCCAAGGATTGTGGGATCGTGTGGCGTAGCGGCATAGTGCTCGACTCGCAACGAAGAGATGCCACCGATCTTGTGCCCTTGGGAAAGGCACTTTACACGACTTTCCTCACTTCGCACAGGTTGAAATGAGTATTATCCTGTCGCGTATTTGTCCCCTGTGTTGGTGGCAGCATTGATATAAGTTGAAAAAACTTGAGTGTGTAGACACCATGTCTGGCGATTACCTTTTGGAATAAAAAAACATAGCTATATAGGCAGATAATCTCCAAGCAGATCTTTCGTTGGCTGCGAAGACAGTATCAAATTGGCTAGGCCGTATTAAGCCAGGCAGTTACCATTTACAACTCGAAGGCGTAAAAAGATATAAAAGCCCGATTAAAACGCCAAAAATAAGCTGAAGCGTAAACCTTTACTTGGAGGTTACTAAGTTGATAGGTACGCAAGAAAAGATTTTTTCACACTCTAAGCTTGTTTCCTTATACATGTAGCTATGATAATACTTAAAGTTTGGACGGATGTTCTAGTTCTAGGACGGATCTTATAGTTATAAGAGTTGTGAGTTGGTTGCCAGGAAAACGTGATATTCTTTTTGACAGATCTGGACCTATACACTTTTTTCGGTCCTTGAACTCTCCTTGAAGTCTGGTTTCTAGTTTGGACATTTCATTGATCTTTTCTTCAGTTTTCGTGCAGACAGGTCGACGGGAGAAGGTATCGAACCGCTCGGCAAAGGTCTTGTCATGTCCATTTGTGCAATTGAAACATGCTGGAAAATCTAATCACGCTAAATGCTGAAGGACGTCGGTGGGAGGGACGTCAAATTAGTCGATTTGTTTTTGCTACTCAGCTTTAGACACCGTTAATGAACCAGAAGGACAAAATGGCGGAAAGGCAACCAAATTCTTAAAAAGAATGACTTACTGCTATTGATTAAGCTGAGTTTGTCTTCTGTTTCATATACTTCTGTGGCCATAGGCCAGGTTTGGTGATGGAACTGGTGTCCATTTCAATTATTATTTCAGTCCATATCATAGGTGTGGATTGAAATATTGTTTTTACTCACGTTTCTTCTTCACCTTCTCCTTCTTCTCCTGTCATTTCTTTGAATGAATTCAATTTCTTCATTTTTGGGCCAAATGATCTGAAAGTCGGTCTGAAAGTAGAGTGGGCCTGTATGGGGTTTCGAGAATGTTTTACTGAAAAGTACTATATGGGCATTGGGGACTACATGGGGTTATTGAAACAATTGATATTGAAGAGCACTAGCTACATGAAAAAGGTTTATATTAAACAGTCCATTTTTGAACGGGGGGGGGTGGACTGAAATAAACTTTATTTACTGCCAAGCAAATGTCTGCCTCTCTAGAACTATATTTTATCCATGCATGTAGCTTTAAATGGATACACACCTAGGAAACGCTAGGGTATTCCTGTTCTGTTTCTTGACGTCATGACAAGTACATGGGTGTACACATAATTGTAACGTACTGATTTCCTATAAACATTTTGCTCCCCCCCCCCCCTTTCATACGCACACACACCATATAGTATGCCTGTGCGCACGGTGCAGTCTTTGCGCGAACGTTCCGAACATCCCGAGGGTAGACTAGTATTGGACTTATCTGCTTCTGCTGCGACGCTCATAACAATTTATCTACTCCGAACATCGATTCTCATTTGTTCTTGGAAGGAGAACTAAGCTATCGATATGGTTATCGGAGTGGAGTGTGTCAGGCTATCCATCTGCCGTACTGTGGCGCTCTCGTTTACATGTATGATTTAGTACAACTCATACCGGGCTTCGGTTCTATCAGGTTAGGCTAACTGCCAAGAACTAAGGATACAGTTTATCTTGTGCATTTAGAGGTTACAGGCTACACGGGGCCTGGGGCTTTGGTTTACATGTATGATTTAGCATGGCGGTTCATACCAGGCTTCGGTTTTATCGGGTTTGGCGAACTGTCAAGAATCAAGGTATACACTTAATCTTTTGCATGCATTTTGAAAAGAGAAGTAGGGAAGTTGGAAATGCAAATCATCTGCAAGTACTTTTTGGTAAAAGGGAATACTAGAGTTATGGTTAGTTGTTTGACCTTTAATATTTTCAATGGAAAATACGACACGCAGGTCACTTTTTTCATGATAAATTTGTTTGATATTTTGTTATCTTAGCCGTATTATTGCTCTAAACGTTGATGGTTCACCATTATTTTCTACATATGTAAAATTAACGTTAAAGGACCTAACAGCAGAGCGAAAAAAGGGTATATGGTGTGACATTCAGTCAAGATGGCGGCCATTACTGCCGCCTGACCTTCCCATAATTCCGTAGTACCCTCCCCCGCACAAGTGCCCGGATCTGCTCTAGCGGGAGATTCAATGCTTGGGGTCAAATTGGCAAAATTAGCCTTGGATGACTGAGGTGGACCTTCCATCGATCCGCCGCCGATGTAAGTGCGTCAGGACGTTTTTAGGATCCCCGCTGGCACCCTGCCCAAATGTGACCACGGTAATGAAGTTGAAGTCACAGACTATCGGGTGAAGGTTGGCTGGATGAGATAAAATCAACCGAGGGGACCTTCTCTGTATGCGGAGGGGTTTAACTTCTTGGCCCCGCCGTAATCTGCTAGATTACCCGCTGCCTGACCTGAACTCACCTTGCAAACTCGGAAAGTTTGACGCCTACACAAAATGCCCTGAACTTTGGGTGTAAATTCTGGCGTGTTAATACCCATGGTGATGCACAACGGTTTTCCGGTTGTAAAAGGGCCATACCTCGGGGAACAATCGTCACATAAGGGCGGCTGTAAAAACTTTCCGCCTGCGAGTTATGAGGTATTATCTTTACATAAGGCCCTCCTCGCCTAGACAGTGTGTCTACGTAAGGCTGGCAACTTTTGACCCATGACATGACATCAACCTATCTTCAAAAATGTAGGTCTAAAGATCAAGGAATATCAGACAAAATTAATATGGCACACAGAACTAAAATCATTATGAGTCTCAGTTGTTTAGTAGAAGTAGGGAAAGAAGTAGGTTACAAGCGAAAGGTAACTGTCTAAATTTGTACCTTTGGTCTTTAGATGATATTTATTTATAGTATTTATTTTCATATTTATGATTTTGCATATGCCACACGTCGGAAACATGGCGGGTGCACGACAAATGCTGTGCCACCATACAAGACAGATGGCTTCCGATATGCGCAATGTACACAACATGAAATGTATGTTACACACATGGCAGCCCCCGTACATGACAAACACTACCTGTCGATACCTCATTTAAACGACATGGTGTTCAATTAAGCCTTGATAAATACAAACGCAGCCGAGACATACCGCCATATGGTCGGGAACTACCTGTCAATAATCCGCGCGACGGGACGAGATTGATAACACCTCGCTGCCGAGGCGGGGGCCGTACATTGATTGGGACTTTATGAAAGGGTCCCGGGGTCTATCCCCTTCATTTAACATAATGAAGCATCAGATCTAACTGAACAAACGCGGGATCAGAAGGCGCTGCTCACGCTATTTCATGGGTTGTGGGCCCCGCCACGGCCCGGAGGACAGAGGATTGGAAAATGAACCGGTGTTCACCACGAATGTCGTGGCACTGGTGTCAGGGGAACTGACTGTGAAGCGGCTGACATAGATGAACAGACATGCCATATTTCTGTAGTAAATCGTATGCGCGCTCAGGTCCGGGTAGAATACTGGCAACAATGAACGATGACTTTGATATGGATTTTGTCCCATGTGAGTTCAAGGGAGCTTCGCGGAGCTCTAAGACTTCGGCATATCTATCATAGATATACCAAATGTATTCATAGCCATGGATAAGGTCCACACAGGTAGATTTCATATGAAATAAAATAAACATTTAGAGTGATAGATCGATAACTCAGTTACATTTGTTTTTGAAAGCTACATGACTCGTAAAATGGCTATTTGGGGAAGAATATTTGTTAGGGCTTTATGTAACATTTTTGTTAATTGAAGCTTTATTTGAAAAAAAAATCTGGCATTTATTGGTTTGCGCTAAAACAACAAAAACGACCGGAAACTACTAGAATATAAACAAACATGGCTGACAGCTGTGTTTCAAGCTTTTAAACACAATCCTAATTGACATTTTGGCACCTACACTTCCTGAATGACACTTCTTTACAATGGAGTAAGGTTGAATCAACTTACTTACGTAATAAAGAAATGACAGGAAAATCTAATTTTTACATAGTCCTAAATGTTATACAATACATCTTTGAGACGTTGTACGAACTGTTTTCTTCAGGAGAGGGTTCCACCTGAAGGACGTGCCCACAGGTGAGCTGTCTCACTACGTCCTGGCGCTGACCGCCACCTGTCAGAACCCGCGGAACTTCTACGGACACAACCTGCTGGAGGCCATAGACCGGGCGCTGTTCCACTTCCCTACCGCCGAGTTCAACAACTTCTACCAGGTGCTTAGCCGTAATGATTTGTTATCAGCCGTAATGATTTGTATGTAATTTGAATGTCTTGTGTTTTTTTTTATGTTTTAATGTCCGGGAAGCTAGATTAGCTGCTCACGAAATTAATTTTGTAATGTCAGCTAACGGACATAAAGTATTTAAAATACTTATAATTACTGGTGCGGTAATTGTTGTTTGCTTCTTTATTCTTAAATTCATTTCTCTTCTGAAGTCATCGAATGTGTCCCCATGCTATTACGTTAACGTTGGCCTGCAGTGGTGAATGGGGTTGGCCGCAGGGACTGATGGGATAGCATTCCTGTTTGCTGTGCCTTTATGCTTGTCATTACTGTTCCTCATCTTTGCTTTTACTTTATGCCACAGCCGTAAGGCAAATTGCATTACTATGATGAAATCTAGTGTAATTGCTAAGCCCTTATATGTTACTTTTGATTGACAGTTCAGCCAGGGCGTGCTGGCCATCTGCGGGGCAGGAGCTCCGGTCAAACCCAGACTCATCAAGGACCTGGCGAAGGGACAGCAGGCGGACGGCGGGTACCCGTTCGGTGTCGGTAAGTACATCGACCACACGACGTTACGTGTTGTTTGAAGTTAAAACTTTTGTACCAACACAAAGAGCTTTCGACCAGTCACTCTGATCTTCTTCAATAGACTGACCCAGTGAGACTTGTCTGAAGTGTGACGTCAAAACTGGATCAAAGGTATCTAAACATACCATCACAGATGAACTTTCAAATGATCAGATACGTGTTGTTGAAGACTTTCATCCATAGGAGTGTATAAATGCCTTGCTGGAGTATGCCACGAAACACGTTACAGTTTTGTAGAACATGATAGGATCACATGTCTCTAATACCACTCTCATCTTTCTCTCATCTTGTATCATTCCCATTCCCAGCTTACGCTACCTGTAGTTGATCTTCAGATAGTTCCAGGCGAAAACTGCATCCTTCACCACTACTGCTTCTGCTTCACGACTATATGTATCACAAAGAAAAACATGAACATGTTCGTTTTCTCTTTCATGTTTCTCAGACGCAACAGCGATGGCTATCCTGGCGCTGTCCTGTGTGGAGAAACAGCGCCTCCACAGCCACAACAAGGACGAGATCAAGAAAGTGTTCCGAGAGGCTGTCAACTACCTCCGCACACAGCAGAGACAGGACGGCAGCTTCGGCAACCAGCACAACACTGGTCTGGCCGTGCAGGTGGGGACAAACTGTTATATGAGATTAGTTATTGACTCAACAGAAAGTACAGGGACTTTTGCATGGTCTTCTACGACTAAAGATCTAACAAAGCTAAATTCATGTATGAATAACGTCATCGATATCCTACCGACAGTATATATGTATGCGTCAAATTACGTACAGAATATATGTCAGCGGCAACAATAAAGGTTTAACGATTCTATAACATGTAGTCTCTAAGATTTAAGAGCAAATGTCTGTAAGGATCAAACAATGGTGGCAGGGGTCAAAAAATCAATTTGGCTCAAATTTTGCACAGTGATAGTACTTGGCACACAACCTCTCAAAATAGCTTTCTTTCTGCTCCACACCGATCGTTGCCATGGTAACAGCCCAAACATGTTTTGGGGCCATTTTCCCTGATTTGGGCATGCCAGAAACATGAAAATTGCCAAAGTTTAGGACGCGATTACAAACAAATGCTGGAATATATCGGAACTACAAAAACTGTGCTGAAATGTCCAACGTATCTGCTATTCTAAAATAGCTTTAAAATTTTCAAGAGGTCCGTTTTAAGGGTCTGGGCATCCCTAAGACAATACAGTGTTTGGGGCTTTTGAAATATCCCTATTTCTGCCCATCTTTGAAGCGCTGTAACTCCAAAGATGGTGATTTTTTTTCTTTCAAAATGTAATAACAGATACATAATCATATGTGCTATAAAATGCATGTTTGTAAAGTTTGGCCAATTGTTTGGTTCTCACGTGGTTGTCCTCGGAAGTAGGTCATATTTTACATTTCAAGAAAAATACAAATTTTTGTCATATTTAAGATACAATATATACAATACAACAACAGCAATCTAATACTACTATAGACAATAAGTAATCCTATTAATTGTCTATCAAATGAATGCTTGTGGAGGTTGGAGTCTTGTGTCGTTGCTGTGTAATTATCCCTGAAAGTAGGCCATAGTTTGGACATGTGCGGAATATTATCATTTTGGGCTATCTTTGAAGCTTTACAACTGACAAAGTAGGATGTTTTTTAAATCCAATTTTTGTATGGTAGTACATATATGTATTGTGTATCAAATGATATCTTAATGAGGTTGGAGTCTTGTGTCGTTGTGTAATTGTCCCTGAAAGTAGGCCATAGTTTAGACATGTGCGGAAATTTTCATTTTTTGCTAACTTTGAAGCTCTATAACTGACAAAGTAGGATGTTTTTTTGAATCCAATCTTTGTAGGGTAGTACATACATGTATTGTGTATCAAATTATATCTTGTTGAGGTTGGAGTTATGTTATGTTGCTGTGTAATTGTCACAGAAAGTATGCCATATTTTGGACTTGTGCTAAAAATTAATATTTTGGTCTATCTTTGAAGCTCTATAACTGACAAAGTAGGATGTTTTTTTGATCCAATCTTTGTAGGGTAGTACATACATGTATTGTGTATCAAATGATATCTTGTTGAGGTTGGAGTCTTGTTTCGTTCTTGTGTAATTGTCCCTGAAAGTAGGCCATAGTTTGGACATGTGCGGAATATTATCATTTTTGGCTATTTTTGAAGCTCTATAACTGACAAAATAGGATGTTATTTGAATCCAATCTTTGTAGGGTAGTACATACATGTATTGTGTATCAAATGATATCTTGTGGAGGTTGGAGTCTTGTTACATGTCTGTCTAATTGTCCCTGAAAGTAGGCCATATACTGGACATTACAGAAATTGCATAATATACGGCTGTTTTTGAAGCAGTAAATATGACAAAATAGTATTTTTTTTTAATTCAATATTTTAAGGGAAGCACATAATCATATGAATTTTGTATGAAATGAATACTTGTGGAGGTTCCGGCCTTGTGTCGTTATTGTGCACTTGTCCCAATATTGAAACATATAAAGACATTAGCACACGTGCACTTCCGTACTTGAAGCCCTATAAACGCCAAGGTAGGACGGTATTCAAATTAAATTCTCTAGCAGAAGTAACTTTATCTATTGTCTATGAAATGAAGGCCTACAGAAGGTGGGTTCTTGCTTAGTTGCTCTGTACTTGCCCAAAAGTAAGTCATAATTAGGACATATTCTATTGTTTTCTTGTAACCGTCCCCGAAAGTAGGAAATATTGCTCACGTTTCGATATAGCTTTATGTGTCATTTGAATATTTGAAAAAATGTCTTTTATTCAAAACCAAAGCATTGTCTTAATCCCTTTGACATTTCTGTAAAGTTTCAAGAATGTAAGCAACCACACTAGGGACAATTGAGTTGAAAATAATGAAACACCAAAGACACATCATTTTGTGAAAAAGGTTCCAGTAAGCTGATACTTCATTGTTACTGTGTTACTGGCATTATTACAGTATAGTAACTAACAGAACAAAGAAGGGCTATTCAAAGAAGTTGTTCAAGTTGTCATTTGCAGATTGTGGGAATATACATGTACATCTGCATCTACAATGTATCTTAACTGCAGTCGTTAGGATAGCAATGTTTCAAGTACCATATTCCTCAAAACATCCTCAAAATATGATAAAGCTAAAATCATTGTTGATTCTGCCTAAAACCTGAGTATCTTATGAAACAGCCTATCAACGTCTGAGCAACTAATGCTTTCTTACCATCATCTTATCCCTACATGTACCTCTACAGAATTAATTTGAACAAGGGCAAAACAAGTACAAAACAAGACTATAACCTCCACAAGCATTCATTTCTTTGACAATAAATATATTGTACTTTCCTTGAAAGATTGAATGGAAAACACACCCTACTTTGTCATTTAAAGAGCTTTAAAAATAGCTAAAAATGAAAATTTCCGCAGATGTCCATAATATGGCCTACTTTCAGGGACAGGTACACAGCAACCAAACAAGACTCCAACCTCCACAAGATATCATTTGATACACAATACATGTATAGATTGGATTCAAATAACATCCTACTTTGTCATTTATACAGCTTCAAAAATAGCTAAAATGATAATTTCCGCACATGTCCCAAATATGGCCTACTTTCAGGGACAAGTACACAACAGCGAAACAAGACTCCAATCTCAACAAGAATTCATTTGATACACAATACATGTATGTACTACCCTACAAAGATTGGATTGAAATAACACCCTTCTTTGTCAGTTATAGAGCTTCAAAGTTAGCCAAAAATGATAATATTCCGCACATGTCCAAACTATGGCCTACTTTCAGGGACAAGTACACAGCAACGACACAAGACTTCAACCTCAACAAGATATCATTTGATACACAATACATGTATGTACTACCCTACAAAGATTGGATTAAAAAAACATCCTAATTTGTCAGTTATAGAGCTTCAAAGTTAGCCAAAAATTACAATATTCCGCACATGTCCAAACTATGGCCTACTTTCAGGGGCAATTACACAACAAAGAAACAAGACTCCAACCTCAACAAGATATCATTTGATACACAATACATGTATGTACTACCCTACAAAGATTGGATTCAAAACATATCCTACTTTGTCAGTTATAGAGCTTCAAAGTTAGCCAAAAATTAAATAATATTCCGCACATGTCCAAACTATGGCCTACTTTCAGGGGCAAGTACACAACAACGACACAAGACTCCAACCTCAACAAGATATCATTTGATACACAATACATGTATGTATTACCCTACAAAGATTGGATTCAAAACATATCCTACTTTGTCAGTTATAGAGCTTCAAAGTTAGCCAAAAATGATAATATTCCGCACATGTCCAAACTATGGCCTACTTTCAGGGATAATTACACAGCAACGACACAAGACTCCAGCCTTCATTTGATAGACAATTAATAGGATTACTTATTGTCTAAAGTAGTATTAGATTGCTGTTGTTGTAGTGTATATATTGTATCTTAAATATGACAAAAATTTGTATTTTCCTTGAAATGTAAAATATGACCTACTTCCGAGGACAACCACGTGAGAACCAAACAATTGGCCAAACTTTACAAACATGCATTTTATAGCTCATATAATTATGTATCTGTTATAACATTTTGAAAGAAAAAAAATCACCATCTTTGGAGTTACAGCGCTTCAAAGATGGGCAGAAATAGGGATATTTCAAAAGCCCCAAACACTGTATTGTCTTAGGGATGCCCAGACCCTTAAAACGGACCTCTTGAAAATTTTAAAGCTATTTTAGAAAAGCAGATAAGTTGGACATTTCAGCACAGTTTTTGTCTTTCCGATATATTCAAGCACTTGTTTGTAATCGCGTCCTAAACTTTGGCAATTTTCATGTTTCTGGCATGCCCAAATCAGGGAAAATGGCCCCAAAACATGTTTGGGCTGTTACCATGGCAACGATCGGTGTGGAGCAGAAAGAATGCTATTTTGAGGGGTTGTGGGCCAAGTACTATCACTGTGCAAAATTTGAGCCAAATCGATTTTTTGACCCCTGCCACCATTGTTTGATCCTTACAGACATTTGCTCTTAAAGTTCTTTAAGGTATTTCCCTATCTAAGCATTATATTAGTTATCTCTCCTGAGAATGTAAACCACGAAAACAGCTACGGTGAAAATAAAAATACGTGCATGATCACGGACATGCCTGCAGACGACGTATAAAATTACATGCCGATTAAACAAAGGGAACCCTGTGTTTTAGCTGCGAACACGAAAAACCGACTGGCCACAATATTCCTGCAGAAGGTATGCCTCCTTCTCGGAGTAATAAAATAAAATGTTTCATCCATGAATCCGTTCCCCCTGCCCTGCAGGCTATGATAGCGGCAAACCTGGAGCCGGCGGCGTGGCGCTGCCCGGACGCCCTGACCACCCTGACGCGCACCCAGCACCAGGACGGGTCGTTCGGACAATTCTTCCAGACGACCGTGCAGGTCCTGCCCGCACTGGCCGGCAAGACGTACGCTGACGTCAACAGGATCATGTGTGAAATGGGTAAGTAAATACAAAATGCAATGAGACTAGTAAAATTCTTTAATTTATGAAATGAAGACTCGACTTTCTCTGCCAACACTATAATGAATTTTGGGACTTGTCCCAAATTTTCGGCTGACTCCGTCAACCTTGTTCACGGAATGGATCCGTCTACTCTTGGAACGTGACGTCAGAGACACGTGACCGAAGTAGCGGGTCATACCTGCCAGATAACTTGTGTCGCCCCCCGTCTCTGTTCAGGGTAGGTCTGTGAGCTCTAATGTAGACTGCCTCCTTCACTCCCCTTGCAAAGAAATCATTTCATAATGACTTGTACCAACACAGATGGACTTTTATGCAACAAACACTGTTTTCCCCTCACTGTTTGGCTGTTTTTACCTGTCTTCGTTTATTGCTTTTAGCTGCCTTCATCATAGTATAACGAACTCTGTAATTCACCGCAAAGTGGCGTAACGGCAAGGAGAATGCGGCCTCTAGCGTGACATCGTCTATCCCCTCTAAATGATAAAGAGAGACACACCAAAAGTATGTAATGTAAAAGAAGTACTGACCCAAGGCAAGCAAATAGGCAACTTCTGTAACAAGAGGAATGAAAACTGGTATTTTTTTTCTCACATCTCTCATCAGCCCCAATCATGGATGAAGACGAGGATAGCTTCCTGATGACGGAGTATGACCTGTATGACCCGGAAGAGGAACCTAACCATTACGTCAGTAACATGACGGTCCAGTACACGATCCACAGTGACTTCCACCCTAACGTGTCGGCCAGTATAGAGCTCACCGTACCCAGCAACACCAGCTTCATCGACATCATGGACCTCGCCGCAGAGAGGGACGAGAGGTTCAGGTAAGCGTTGAAACCTGATTACCTCCTTGAAAAGTAGAGGACTAGAGGTATTGTTTTTGGTAGATCTATGCGTGTGTCCGTGTGTGTGTCTATGTTTCCCTGCGGGCCTGAGGCCAGGTTGTAATGGATATGATTGAGTTTATGACCAGTCTGTCCCAGAGCTCGAGAGAGAAAGTCATTAATCACGTCTACATCTGGTACCTCTTGCTGTTTTTACAGGTGTTTTTCGTTACATGACCTCCTTAACAACTGAAAGCTAGTGGTGTTTCCCTGCACGACAAAGAAAAACGTGTAGACACCATAGTGAATGAGAAAAAGACACAATAACCATCACAAAGATCTAAATATTTCGTGGAGGTCCGAGATATCTCTGAATTCTTGTGTCAAAGCTCAACAGCCATTACAAAAGCACTTTGTTTAGCGTCCGTGTCAGTTTTGGGAAATAGAACTCCATAATTCTGCTTTTCATTTAATTTCATTTCATTTTCAAAACACGCAGGTATGAAGCGCCGGACACGAAGTGGGGCCATTACGTCAGTGCCATCGGGGAAGTGAGGGAAGATCACGACGAGAAACGCTACTGGACAATCATGTTGGACCCGGACATCTCCATAGATGAAGGTATGGTTTCATCTTTAGATCGGCCTTTATCTCAAATTTGTTCAGATCGGCCGTTGATTCTCTTTTTTTGTCCTTTTTTGAAATACGAGCCGTAATGGATTTTGTTGAATAATAGATTCACCTGTTGGACATTTGTCATTATCTTCCAGGCATTGACCACTTCATTCCGGATGATGGCGATCACGTGATCTTCAGGTACCGGAAATACGACTAGGACACCATATTGGATCCTCCCAGAATGCATCGCTCTATCCGGGGTTCACCGGATAGCTGTGTTGCCGCCATCTTGATCCATTCCAAACAGAAAGAACAAATTATGCCATTTGAAAACCTGTTCCTTTGACCTTTTGTAATGTCAATCATTTTATGATGTAATTATTGACCAGACTGGCTCTGTAAATGAAGTTGACTCAACATGTTTCCTGTGAAGATGTGTAAAACAGTACTGCTTCTATACTACAGGGACTGAGAAATGTTCATTGGTCCTGGGTTTCTTTACAAACTTTTTCAGCTGTTGAATAAGCTGACTTGACAATCCTACGTACTGGCTAGCATTTTGCAAACCAATGTGGACTGATGAGTTGAAGATCTCTGTTTACAACATGACAAAACGATTTAAATATTAATAAAAAGTATTTGATTCGTTACTGAGAAACTATCAGTAAGTCCCAAACCAAAAATTTTTCGTTTACAAGAAAGTTGTCGTTTGCGTCCAAGGCTTCTTTTTTTTCTGTTTGAGTTGATGAGCCATATTGGTGCCATAAAGCAGGCTCACAAATATTATGAGAAACTTAAACACCTTGCTGTCTGAAAAAAAAACCCGTGTGGTCTTCAGATTAAGTCATGATGATGATATGTCCACTGACTGAAGTATTTGTAAGCTTCGTACTGATGTACATAATTTATGTAAATAATCTAGTCCGACTCAGCAATATATTGAATGTGAGGGAAAATGTTCGTACCGTTGACTTTACTATGATGGCGTATAATTATCTTTTTTCTGGCATGTTTTGTCGACGATTCGTTGGATTTGTGACAACCTGTCCTTGGTGTCCTGGATCAAAGTCAAAGAAAAATAAGTTTTTTGATGTAAACAACTCGAGATTTTGTAATGAAATAAAATCGTTTCCCGATAAATTGGAATGCGATTTATTTTGTGTGATGCATCTAAAGCTAGTTAGTGAAAATTTGATGAGTTAGTTTACTTCAAACGTTAACCGTAAGCAAAAGTGTTACTGGTCAATGCTATGTATTTTGTGTGATGCATCTATACTAGTTAGTGAAAAGTTAACAAGTTAATTTGCTTCAAACGTGAACTCTTACTAGTCAATGTAGATCTAACTCGGGACCCAGGTCGTTTGTTCTACCGAATGAATTACGTTTGTAAGTCAACACCGACTTTATGCAGCTCCCCTTGCTCTAAGAGACAGTGTTATGGACAAGACGGATGTGCCTTCAGATCTCTATCTCGGTACAGATCATGGCGTCATTACAACCCAATTTGATGCGGTTCTCCCCCTCCCGCTGAGGCACCCAAATCATAACGGTTCCTCACCCGGGGTTAGCGGGGCCATTTCCAGCCGAATAACGCAAGGCCACGCACGACTGGGGAAACCTTCACGACTCTTACTCTTGATGAGGCGTGCTCTGACAAGGGGTGATTTTACGACATGCCCTCGACAGGGCAGGCATATCAATGAACTGGAAGAAGTTTACGACAAACCTGGAAGCGTTAAAAACAAGCTCGGACGGAGACGCATTACGACTCTAATGTTCCCGTGCAGCACGAGGTATTTTACGACATTGTGCCTCCAGACTTGACATGCGGGGGAAGCTAGTTTACGGCTTATCTAGAGCACTGTGACCTTGGGCTCTGTGGAACAATTTCACTCCACAAAAACAGATCATTTGGAGTGGTGATCGAAAGTGCCTTCGTCGACAATACGTCTACGAGTACCGTGGGTGAAACACTTTCCTTATTGTTTTCTAAAAATGTAGTTTTGATTTAAGCCACCGGTATATATCAAGAAAATGTAATTTTACAGATAACATTCTTACATAACCCCTAATAACGAAAAAAAATATCAAGCTAAGGTTGAAGTGGCATCTACCCACGCAACAAAACTAGAATGACATACTTTTCCAGCCGCCTCCCGAAACCTAGTAAGACGAGCACTTTTCAGCTCCGCGGAGAAGTTTCAGACTCCGCGGAGAAGTTTCAGACTCCGCGGAGAGGTTTCAGACTCCGCGGAGAAGTTTCAGACTCCGCGGAGAAGTTGCACACTCCGCGGAGAAGTTTCAGACTCCGCGGAGAAGTTTTAGACTCCGCGGAGAAGTTGCACACGCCGCGGGGAAGTTGCACACTCCGCAGAGGTATTGAAGTAATCACAATTTTTCATCGACCTACAAACAGCCCAGCACGACAGGTGACCCGACTGCTTCCTGCGTGTAAAATAGGCTGCGAGACAGTTTTTGAAGTTTTCTAGTTTAGCAGGTAATAAACTTCACGCTGTGTTTGGATGATAAGAGGGTCTTGCCTTGTGACACCTATTATAGACGTAATTTAGAGCGGTACGAGTTGTACATTACCGCTGACCGCAGTGAATTAGTAAAATGGAAAAAAGGAGAGACGGTCACATATTCAGCAGCAGTCATGGAATATACTAGTAAGTTGACTAGTATAACGAGACCATATAAAAAATTAAGCTGTTCTCCAACTCAAGGAAATTCGATTCACCAGAATTTTCAACAAAATATCACGGTCTTCATCAGCTTTCCCCGCGTGTGACGTCAGGACTGGGTCAAAGTTCAACCTGGACGGGGGGCGGTACCGACTTCCGGTGAACATTCTAACCTGCAACAAGAATGGGCTCATACGATACATTCCATAAATTATTGTCATGTCCAACTACCATATCTGCCAATGTATGCCGATTTCTGTACACTTTATTCCATAAGCGAGACCAAATTATCAATACATGACCATATTGTAAGTCATATACTGTATCGATAGTAGTTTGTAGTAAGAAATGTAAGATAGTTTAGTATTGTAGTATTGTTGTTTTACTGCCACACATATGGTACCATGGACGATTGTCGAGCAATGAAGTCCATTCATTCGATGTAGTGAGAACTTCTAGACTTCAGGAATATACAAATAATTTTCATTCAGACGGTATTCCGGTTTCATTCCGGCTCTCGTGTGAAGGGGGTATAAGGTTACATGATACACCCACAGAAATGCGAGAGTAGGGTACGTGGGCATTTTCCCAGGGGGGTTCCTCCAAACTTCCTGATGGAGGATTTCCATTAAAAGTTGATGAAGTAGTGGTTCCCGCGAGTCAAGTCATTAATGTGCGAGTACCCGCTTCCTTGATAAATCACGGCAAAGTCATGCGTGCATGTTCTAACAGATACCGCCATATCTGGCGTTATATATGGCCCCAGGTATAATAAACCGACCACGAAGAAGTGTGGACGGGAGGCGACAAGCTGTACTGAATACTAAAAGTTTCCGGTGGAGAGTTAGTTATAAGGTTGAGACGCCCAAGATGCTTAAATCAAGTCACCAATGTATGGTACAAAACCTCGACTGTGTAATGTGTTTCAAATAAATGTGTAGGAAAATTTCCTGAAATGAACTATGAAGCAAAGGTAGCGTTTTTCTCTATTCCTGAAATAAAGAATAAATGAATGAATGAATGAATAAAAGTTTTTATCATAATGGTCCAGCGTAGCTACAGTAAAACAATCTGGACATGTGCTTTTAATTCATGCATGTACATTTGTACTATTCCTATATAAACCCATATTGTACTCACTCACTCACATTGTACCATAGATAAAATACCGTAGTTTAACCTTCTCCACGCTGCTTAACCACACAACTAGTGCACATCCGGTGTAATACAGTTACCTTAGCAGGGTGAAGGTTAATAAAAAAACACCAGCTACTTCTCTAGGGCATTGCAGCCGCGGGGCTAATGTGGAAATATCAGAACACGGAAACTAGAAAACGCGGGTGGTTCTCTATGTGATTAAATGGGCTTTAGGTGGAGATTTTCCATTAAGAATTGACTTCGAAATATTTGCCTGGGGCTACCTATCCCATTAACGCATGACTGTCAGGCTTCAGTGAGCGATCTGTATATAGAGAGTGAAACTTTTCCGTGCATGTTGTAATAGAAATGGGCACAGTACGTCAGTAATACACCAGCACACACACGTACAATACACTATAGGAATGTTTAATTCCTGGAAAAAAAAAACATAGCGATACTGTTTAAAAAAAAAAACCTTTTGCGTTTTTTAACCACTAAAACTAATAGTGTTAATAGTAATAATCAAGAAATATACCAAGAAAACATTATAAAGAAGATGTACAGTTAATGACATCTGTTTTGTCTTAAAAGATGTTTACTCATCTTCGTGGGATATGTTATGTATACAGAAAAGATTTTTCTCCTAATGACACAGTATAATACTGTTTGGTCCAGTGATCGTTTTTGTGTCTCAACTATGGAGTGGTACTGCAATGGACACACTGGAGCACATGGGTGTTTCCTCTCTTATCAATCTACATGCAGAAGCTCTAAAACCTAAAAACTCACAAGCGGTGAATATCTCATTCCTTGACAAATACTGGAATTGTATAAACACCAAAAATCTGTAAATGATGACATTGGAAGGAAGAGAACAAAAAGTTGTGCTTAGCCTTCCATTCTAGATACGGAAAAACTTGATGGAATGTCGACCAGACACGACCAGTTGCCCATCGTGCATGGTCAGTCCCAGCGGGAAGTTGAGTCCGTGTTTCTCCTGTGTCAGAACGTGCCTGATGAACGCTCCGTCCTCACTGAACAGGGAAACCCGGTGGTTGACACTGTCGGCCACCATGACGTTGTCCTCGCTGTCCGTGATGACACCGCACGGGTAGTTGAGCTGCCCGGGCTCCCAGCCGAACGACCCTGCCGTGAAGAGATGACGACCGGCGGGGTCAAACATCTTCAGGTTGTTGTTACGCAAGTCGCTGAGGATGATCTGGTTGCTGCTGCTGGTGCTCACATGGAAGGCGGTCTCATGCTCACCTGGAAGATTTCCCTTGAACTTCTGAATGATGTCCCCGTCTGCGGAGATTACAAAACCTTGGGAACCGACAGTAACGATGATGCGGCCAAATCTGTCAACGGCAATGCCCTTTGTAGTTACCTCTTCAGGCCCTGTTGTTGCCACCTGGATGACACGGGATGCCTTCCTCCCCTGTCTGTCCAGGACGTGGATCTTGTGTCCGTCTCCTGTCAC